AGTTACTTATTCTTGGAGTTAAGTTTTGGTTTCTGGTGCGTCTCTCCTGTTTCATTAGATCTCGGGTGAAAAGCGTCTACCACAGATTATCTCTGGCAGAGCTGCCGGACATCCCAAGTGTACCAGAGCTGGCCAAGGTAAGCACCAGCATCTCAGACTGGTTCCATAGTGTAGCGGTCATCACAGCTGCTTTACATGCTGTACCGAGTTCGAGCCCAAGTGGGTCCATGATGTCCTCTATGGTTGAACTCACCCACTTTGGTAGAGGCTGAGACTTTTGAAGGCTCAGCGTCGTTCTAACTGTAACCTCGATGTTTGTCATTGCGAAGCTGCTGTGCGACGAAGCGGCAGGTCTACGGTTCAGTCCCGTCCTGTACCCAAAGGTAGGCTCCCACACCGTCAGCACACCTGGGTTTCTGTTCCGTGTCAGAGGAGATGATGCACGTCTGTCTTTGTCTGCAGGCATCTCAGCTAATAGTGAACTATGATGAGCATGAGGTGAACAACACCTACAAGTTTGGAGTCATTTACCAGAGATTTGGTCAGGTACCTCACCACCTGCTCACGCTTTGTGTCCACTCGGTGTTTTTGTTTCCATCTTCCTTCTTTATTCCCACTAGTGGACTGATTTCTAACCGAAGCACGTAGGTTTGTTGATGTTAGTGATCAGTGCACTCCATTAGCTGTTACTGTTTTCCACGGGTTTTACTAAATACGCTGCAACTATCGTATGGACGAAATGAGCTGATTTAGAGGTCCTGGGTGATTTTACATGGTATGACCAAATATATATAAGCTGTAAGCACTCCAGAGGACACTGCAGACCAACCCAAGAAGCTCATAAAGATGTTCGCTCATTCTTAGCGTTGCCTTGTGAAAGAATTTGTATTGTGTTCCAGTATTTTGTTTTGGAGTGCTGGGTCACTGGTACGGCCTGGTTGATGTTATTGATCCTGCTGATTATATCAGCACTTCGTCTGCTGTAAACCTGTTTCAGCAAATGTTTTCAAACTATGAAAACACATTAGCCAACATTATTTTTAAAATAATAATCTCAGTGTAGTCCGTCTTTTGTTCTTTTGGCATCATTAATAAGCACTTCACATCTGAGAGTAGTTTCACCTTCTGTGATGAGTGTATCGGTCGTAGCTGACATGTCACTGTCCCTCAGGTGTCTGAGGAGGAGCTGTCAGGAACAACGAGGAAACGCCGGGCTTTCACAGAGTTCCTGCAGCTGCTGGGAGACACAGTGGATCTGCAGGACTTCAAAGGGTGAGAGACGAGACAAAACTGCAAATCATCACGTTTAATCAGTTATTTCTATCAGTAACATGTCAGTTGATACCAAAGCAGATCCTTTAGTAGCAACTAGGGCTGCCACAAACGATTATTTTGATAGTCGACTAATCAGATCATCATCCATTGGACGTAAAACGTACAGCTTATTGCACCAGCAGCATCTGCTCTTATATAACTATCATTAGCTTACAGCTTTAACTGTTTCAGGTCTGTGCTAACTAAAAATAAAGACAAGATGATAGTTTATTAAATGTTAATGACATTTGCAGATTGTTTCGGTGAAGTTTAATAAACTCCTTGCTATCTAAAATATAACAGGACACTGGAGTAAACTCTGGAGCATCTCACACTTCTGATAATCAGCTGTCTGCTTGACGTTTATTCAGCTGTGTAAAAACTATAACTTTAATCTCAGCCAAACAGATTTACTCAGGAACAAATAAAATACTAAAAAAAGCCAAAGAATTACATTTTTAAGTTCTCTAAGTGACTCATATATCATGTTTAACCTGAGTACTGAAAGACGGCGGTGGGTTTGAAAACGATTAGCCGGGAGTCCGGTGTTCTCACGGCTCTAGTGACCTAGCCCCCGGCTCGCTATCGAGCTAGTGGGTAACAGACGTCTCCGAAAACGTTGGAGTGCTTTTGAAAATATGCGGTGTCTTGATAAACTGAGCAGATATTTGAGGTTTACACAGCTACATTCTCGCCTGAAAATATGTTAAATGTTTATTTTGTGACCCAGAAAGAATAATAAGAGTAATATTAAAACTAACTAGCTGCCGCCATTGTTGGAAACTGAGCTGGGCCGCGCTATGAATTCTGGGACACAGCTTCTTCTTCTTCTTCTTCGGGGTTTAACGGCAGCTGGCATCCTTGTACATGCAGTGCTGCCATCTTCTGTTTCAGTCCGTTATTACACTCTTAAATCCTGCTACTTATTCCTGCGTCTTTTGGGATCTTACAAAGCTTCAAACGACGCGTCGACTATTAAACCAGTCGTCGACGATTTTGATAGTCGACGTAATCGTGACTAGTCGACTAATCGTGGCAGCCCTATTAGACAACCATGGGATTTTCTCGGATCTCTCGGAGTAAATTTTGTAGCTGTGCCACAGTTTAGTCCAGCACGGACTGACGGACAAATCAAACACACAGAGCAATGAAAACGGTCTGTAATCAGTGACCCATAAAAAATAACCTGAGACAGCCCGAGACTCAAAGTTTATTTATTACTCAGAATATTAATTGAATTGAATTGAATTGAATTGAATTGAATGAATGTTTTATTGGCCATATGCAGGTTGCCCCGCAGAGGAATAGGACCCCCCCAATTTACACACACAACAAAGACATCACATTAAACAGTGTGTGTTGACATTTCATTGTTTGTCTGCAGTGAAACAAAACATTTACTGGCCCTGAGTGTTTGTTACTGGACCTGTTTAGATTAAGGTTCAGTTAAACGCCTGTTTCATTCTGCGTGTTACGTGTTTCCAGCTTTGCTCCATCACACACAGAGATTAAGCTTCTTAAAGAACAATCAGCACACAAACCAAAATAAATCAGGAGGGAAGCCAGCTCCTCCATGAGCACAGATGGCTGATTCACTCTGAATCGCATTTATTTACTCCAAACTCTAAATAGCTTTCGTTAACCTCAGAGCAGGTCACCTGCAGACTGAGTGGTGCCCTTTTCCTCTGTGCAGGTTTCGGGGGGGTCTGGATGTGTCTCACGGTCAGACGGGGTCTCAGTCCATCTACACGGTCCACCGGCAGCAGGAGATCATGTTCCACGTGTCCACCAAACTGCCCTTCACCGAGGGAGACGCCCAGCAGGTAGGCGGCATGAAGATGGCGTGACAGAGAAACAAAACACAGAATGAGTCAGCGTGAAACAGGAGGACGGGCTGCGACTCAGCAGCAGCAGCAGACGGTTTGGCAGGCTGGCTCCGTGTGAAGCAGACGCCTGCAGCAGGAAGGGATGCTCGTCATCACGTGACCCTGTGTCTGCACAATCACAGCATCTCAGTCTACACCAGAGATGGGCAGTAACGCGTTACTGTAATCTGATTACTTTTTTCAAGTAACGAGTAAAGTAAGGGATTACTATTGCAAAAGCGGTAATTAGATTACCGTTACTTTCCTGTAGGAACGCTGCGTTACTGCGTTACTAAAACCGTGATTTTTTTTGCGAGTGTCTCATGACAGTGACGTAAGCGAGTGCGCCGTTCGTGACAACAGCTGTGTGCAGATCAACAATGGATCATATATCGAGTGCAGAGAGAGTATGAGCGTGCAGCGTTTAAAGCGTGGAAGTACTGACCTTACTTTGAGTTTGATTCCATAAAAAGTGACAAAAACATTAGTGTCCGCTGTGCGTGGGAAGAAAACTTCTTTTTACAGCGAAAAACCCCTAAACTTCCAACAAGCACCGAGTAGCTACGACGTAATGGAAAACTCACAGAGAAACTCGTGGATTCTTCCACTGACCGCGGCACACCTGCACCAGGGTAACCCTCCACCTACCGCAGTCCTGCTTTACAGGTGAAAATAGAGCAACAGGACCGCTGAGTCTTTGACTTTATTTATTTTCTGCTGTGTTTTACTTGCATCTATTTGAAAGACTGAGTGTAAACACAAAAATATTTTATTTTATGTGCTGGAATGTGCAGAAAATAGGTTTAAATGTTAAACTAATTTCTTCCAGTCAGAGAATGTTGCAGATAATTAAATCTTTGCTTGATGCATAAAGTTAAAAGATTAAAACTAATAAAACAAGTTTTAAAAAGATCTATCGCTTTATCACCTCTTCAGGTTGTAAATAGTGTTTTTAAAAAGTAACTAAGTAACTAAGTAACTAAGTAATTAATTACTTTTGAAAATAAGTAATCAGTAAAGTAACTGGATTACTTTTTTGGGGAAGTAATCAGTAATTAGTTACTGATTACTTTTTTCAAGTAACTTGACCAACACTGGTCTACACCAACAGCACAAACAGGTGAAGCTAGCAGCTACAGGGACATGATCTAGAACCAAAAATGGTTTTATTTATTTATTTAGTATCAGCCTGTAAACGTGTTTGTTGCTGCTGTAAAGTTTGAACATGTGAGCGACTCACTGCGAGAGCCTCTGCTGGACGTCAGAGGAACTGCAGCTGTTGATGCTTCAGTGTTTGCACCTGCTTGCATCCAAACACAGCGTGTTCAGTCAGACTGTTGTTCACTGACTGACAGTTTGTCTTGTAACAGTGTGACAGAAGCACTTTGAAGTTGTTGCTGTGCTTCATAAACTTTATGAGCCGTCACGACTGCACGTAACAGCATCACTCTGTCCTTCAGCTGCAGAGGAAACGGCACATCGGAAATGACATCGTGGCGCTGGTTTTTCAAGAAGAGGCCACCCCTTTTGTCCCCGACATGATCGCCTCCAACTTCCTCCACGCCTTCATCGTGGTGCAGGCGGAGGAGCCGTGCTCTGAGACCACCTCCTACAAGGTAGACGCCGGCTTCCTTTTCTCCATGATGGAGGTTTTTTATAGATTTGACTCTGTCGTCTGTGAGGTTCATGGCATCAGATGCAGTTTAATCTGGGAATCAAAGACGAGCTTTAATCTGATTCACAGAAACAAACCCAAATCCTCGTGGTGGCTGAAGATCTCTCTATCAGCCTCTGAAACATGACAACAACGGAGATGAAGCCTCACACCAGAGGCTCCTCCTTCTCTTACTGAGGAGAGGAAGCGTCTCTATTATTGCTCATAGCTGGGTGGGTTTGCGTGGGTGGGGATCAGACACAGATCTGCCTGTTTCACTCCACCAGTTACAACAGCTGTTCTGACTGACAGGTTTCCGTCACAGCGCGAGAGGACGTCCCGCCCTTTGGCCCGCCCCTCCCCGCCCCTGTCTTTAAAAAGGTGAGGCTGTCGGACGTTTCATAGGAACGTGAGGCTGATCTGAGAGCTGTGGTTAAGTCTGCTGCGTTTTGTACTTCAGGGTCCAGAGTTCAGAGAGTTTCTTCTCACCAAACTCATCAACGCAGAGCTGGCCTGCTACAAGAGCGACCGCTTCGCCCGACTCGAGGTAGAAAGAGCTGCAGGCCGCCCCCAGAGTCACAACCACACCGTGTGTCTAATAAGACAGACGCAGTGATGCAATCACAGTAACAGATTTCAGTACTGAGCTCATGATGTGACAGGAAGTATTTAATTACCGGGCGTTAGTTCCTTGTATTTATATGAACCTACAAACACATGAAGGCAGGACCAGCAGAATAAAGAGAAACACGTCCGCTTCTACAGGAAGCAAAGGAATAATTATGTTGCAGCTAAACTCCTGCAGTGCGTCTGTCATTTCGCTGCACTGTTCAGACTGCGAGCGTACTTGATGGACGCTCGAGTGATTTGTTTTGGTTTCGATTATAAGTGACAGTAGAGAAAAATGATTCATATTAAACATAAAGTCAGTGATGTTGCAGAGAAGCCTGACACTCTAAAAGCTGCTCGCCTGTGCAGAAGATCTGCGACACCTCCTGAACTTTAGAGAAATAACACAGCGAGGACATGAGGGGTTTCATGATTCTTTGCGTCTCCGTCAGGAGCGAACCCGCGCCGCCCTCCTGGACAGCCTCCACGACGAGCTGCAGAGACGCTCCCAGAGCATGCTGGGATTGACGTCAGGGCCGGAGGAGGAGGGCCGAGGGGAGAACGGACAGGCCCACGGAGGACTGCTGGAGTCCATCAAGGTGAATGTTGAGCTTTCCTCCTGTCGTCTTCTTCTTCTCCTGCTTTGAAATGATGGTTTTATGGGACGCTCCAGAACCAATCCAACTCACATACCTCCACCGAGGAAAGTAGTCCCACTTTACAAGCAGTAAAAGCTGTAATGTGAATGTTAGTGTGTCAGCAGCGTGTTTTAGACTGGAGCTACTGTCAGTGACGCCGGACTCTTACCTCAGCACGTGATCTGTCACTATTACAGTTTTATTTCCCAGTTTTTGGTCCACGTAAATGTGTTTGACACAGTAATAGACATGTTATATAGAGCATGTTATATTTTCCCTCATCAATGAATTATGAAGTAAATTTATTTCTTTTTTATTTACTTTATGGAACTTGTGCATTTTTCCATCCAACTTTCAGTGATAGTGAAGTTAAAGCCGTGCAGTCTTTATCCACAACATTATGTTTAATTAGTAAGAAAATCATTTTTACAACAACAAAGAAATATTTATTAGGAAAAACATGAATTTCATAGCCAGTAAAAGCAGAGATAAGGTTTTGTTGAAGTTGCAAACAGCTGCTTTCTGTATTAGAGTCACAGTCATACTGTGGAGATAGCTACAGCTTTTATTCTGAAAGGCAAGGGCAGGAAGAAGCCAAATCTTTTTCCATTTCAGAGGGCGATGCGAGGGAGGAGCGTCTCCATGGAGACCATGTCGAGGGGCGGGGTTGGACTGCCCACCAGTTTGAGTGGGGGGGGTCTGGCACACCTGAACGTGGAGGTGAGTCGTTCTGCAGGTAACTGAAGGAGCAGGTTGAACCCCGCTCGTCTGTGAGCGGCCCCCGTTGACACCTGGACTCTTTGCGTTGGCAGTGTAACGTCAAGTCTCCCGTGAAGCGGCGCTCGGGACTTTTTCCTCGCCTGCTGAGCGTCGACAGCCAAACAGAGAAGCACAGCCAGAGGAGGTAACGCTGCCCAACGTGCCTCTCAGTTTGTTTACCTGGACAGTAAAGTTCAAACCCACCAGTGTGCATGTCAGCACAGCTGCACAGGTGGGGGTGCACCTTCAGGAGAGCTGGTCTCGACAGGTGTGCTGTGTACTGCTGAGCTAACAGCTTTAACCTGCCTCCAGGACATTAACCCCGCCTCCTCCTGTCTCTGATACGCCTCCTCAGCCTCCTCGGTGAGCAGAGGAGCTTCGACGGCTGCAACCCGATGCTGGAGGTGAGGCCAGAGCTGCCGTCCAATCCTAGCTCTCCAGAGGCGGGGCAGCGGGACAGGTGTGTGCAGCAGAAGCAGCAGCAAGTGAAAGAAGCAGATGTTTCAGTTTTCACTGCGAAACAAAAACTTCATCACTTTTTCACTTTCACGGGCAGGATTCACACGAAGAAGGAGAGCAGTAAGATTTCCAGGTCGACATCCAGCACCTGCAGCTTCAGCATCCCAGCTGACGACACACACCTGGTGAGAAAACACGCTCAGCGCTACATTCAGCTCAGTGTTATTGCATTGTAACGCAGACCCTCATCACTGCGTCCTCTCTGTGTCTGTGCGTGTCCAGGCTGCGACGGTAGAAGGTCAGAGTTCAGCTCCGGTCATCGTGTGCCGCAGCCCCACAGGTGCGACGCCCGCTCACCGCCAGCGTTTCTGTTCTGGAGCCGTTCTCACGTCTCGTTTGCTCTCTCCTCTCTCAGAGCTGAGAAACAAGAACTCGCCCAGATCCAACCTGAAGTTTCGCTTCGACAAGCTGAGCCACTCCGCCGCAGTAAGTCTGTGTGACAGCCAATCAGCACGCTCGCTGTTTACCTGGATATGCAGCTGATTGGGCTGCACGACTCTCAGGACGTCACTGCTGTTTTTAATTTTTGTTCAGTGTGATTTTTCAAGTATGTTCTGTGTAATCTGATTACTGAGTGTGAAACCTTCCTTCCGTCTGCAGCAGGGACACTGAGCTGACAGGACGGCGCTGACAGGTGTGTGCTTTCCCAGAAGTCTGCTTTTCAATCCCATTTTTCAAAGTGCTGCTTCTGTCACTCTGTTCTGCTTCTGAGTCTACTTCCTGCTTTATTTTGAAAGTTAGTTCTTCCTGTAGCATCCTATGTTTTACTTCCTGTCTTTGTTGGCTCATGTTCACACTTTCTGGGCGGTGATGTGTTCTCCTCTTTCTCTCGCTGCTTTCCAGAATAAAAGCCTGAAGCTTCAAACAGACAGCAGAAGGAGGAGGAAGAGGAGGGTCTCCTGATGGACCACCACACACACATACTTGTCTTTCTGTCTTTGTGAGGACCCCGAGTGCAGCTCTCCTGTTTCTGTTTTTTTTCTTCTCATCTTCTGCACAAACCATAAAATCATTTCTGAACATAAACGTATGTGTGCGCAGGACACTGAACTCCTTTTTAAACCGTTCTACGGTCAAACTCGACGCAGAGCTCTTCCTGTTTTGCGCTTCATTCAGTGTAAGATGTAGCTGTAGAAACTTTATTTATCACAGAAACAGCAGCAGCTCTTAAAACTTTACTTTAATGAGCAGTTTGGTTTACGTGGAAACAAACTGATGATGAGTAGCTCCAAACACCAGGGGCGCTGCAGAGAGGGGCTGAGATTCCACCCAAAGGACCAGGACCCGCAGCTAAGCTTCCTGAGGGGCAGCGGTTGATGCCCCTCTCCCCAAACACCGCTGAGGTGCTCGCGTCCAGCTGGGAGACGTCCTCTCTCCAAGTATTTCAACCAAAACAAGAAAAACAAAAACACCACGGGAGCTCAAAGTTTGGGGATTCACTCGTATCAGCGGCAACCACAAGAACTGTAACGCCCCGCCCCCTGTCTCCCTGTGAGATGATTGGTCCTCAGTGCCGTTTAGTCTTTTTGTCAACCGGCGCGTGCTGGTCCCCCGAAGGTGCCTGGTCCTGGAGGAGAGCTCCTGCGGTGGACGCGAGGCCTTTATCACCCTAAAGTTTGTGACTCTGATGGTTTCTCAACACAGACGCTGTGTGACATCACAAAGATCCAAGTACAGAAAAACTGCGGTAAAGCTCGTAATTAGAAATGTTACGTTTGTTACGAACGCCCACCGCGTGAACGGGGAGGAGGAGCTGCTCGATCTGCGCGTCTGTGGGATTTATTCTTATTACAGTTTTTTCTGATTGCTTAAGCACATTTTTTGTAACTATTGGCTAATTTTGCAAAACTCTTCACACAAATAAGAAAACCTGTCACCCAATAATCAAAACATTGTAGTTCTCTTGCAAAAGCAAACACAGCTGGATTAACTCCTCACACCTTCGTAAAAATGGTGTTTCCGTATCAAACAGTACACACAAGCCATCATCTACTAAGCACACAATGCACCAACTGCACACTGATGGTATGAATACAAAACACATCTGGCTTTTGCTTTCTCTGTGCACAAGGTAGGCTATGTCAGTTTGAGCTCATACTTCTGTCATAGATCCATAAGCATAGAGGGATCCAAACTTCAAGTACTGCTGTTTATTCAAACACATCAAAACAAACACAAGTGTTTATTTCCAAGTATAGGATTATTTGCAACCGCCATAATGACTATATGGGTTACTTGGTCTGCAGTGAACATGCTTCCTCTGCCCAGCATCTGGTCATCTAGCAATTCTGTAAAGTAACAATTGCAGTATTTTTACATCAATGGTATTGGTGTGTTTCTCATTGGCATATGGCAGTGCTACAAATCTTTGTGCGAAGTGACTGTACTCACCGATTCTCATTTCAAGATGTCCTTATGGTGCTTGCTACAGTGTAGCGGCTCGAGTTAGGCTGGACCCGTTGGCCAGCTACCCTCAGGGTCATTCCACGGTTGATGACATGGTCCACTATTGTAGCTCTGATGTCATCAGCAATTCTATTTCTTACTCTTCCTACCCTTCCTCTCCCCCCTCCTCATCTTCCTCTTGCTCCTCCTTGTCGTCCTCTTCATCCTACTTCTTCACCTCCACGTCCTCTTCCTCGGCCTCCTCTACTTCTCACTCTTCCTGCTCCCTCCATTGTACTCCGCACACACAGCTTACCTGTATTATAGTGCTTAGGCTGATTGCAAAGTGAACTAATTATCTAAAGTTTTCACATGTGAAAGTGTGCCAGACAGTTGGCAGATTAGTGTTAATGATAGCCATACATGTGTATACTTTTGCTAGGAGTGTGTTGGAAATTTGGTAATTGAGTGTTGTGCAGTGAATTGTGCCTACAGTTTTGCAAAGTGTGTGTTACAAAATTGCAAACTGAGTGCAAAGCAGTTTTTGTGCTTTTAGTTTTGCAAACTCAGTGAGTGGTTTTGCTATAAGTCTGAATAGTTTTAGAGATTGTGCTACAGGAATCACAGTTAGGGTTTAAGCATTCAGAAAAACTGTAATAACAAATAATAACACGTGGCTGCGGGTTCAGATTCAGACAGACGCTGCCGTTCTCCACGCACACTGTCACGTCGTGAGCTCCACCTGAACCTTTTTTAGACTGCTGCGGCACACAGCGGCTGAGCGACGGGGCTCAGGTGGGCGGTGCTGCAGGTGAGTCAGAGGTGGAGCTGCTGGAGGTCAGGGAGAAGAAGAAGCTTTGGGCTCCCTCTCTGAGGGACAATCGCACCAATTACGTCGAGTCTCGAGGTCACTCACTCCACTGGAAGCTGCGCAGCTACAGGAGTTCAGGTTTTCAAAATAAAAGCTGTGGTTTGTTTTAAAAGAGGGACGATGATGCAGCATGAACACAAAGATGTCTGCATGTGTTTCTGATGTCATAAAGTGTGTGTGTGTGCGTGCGTGTGTGTGTGTGTGTGTGTGTGTGTGTGTGTGTGATGTAAAGCATGAATCTGTAAAACTGAACATTTCACAAATAAAAATCAGCTTCTTTCAGTGTTTATTGTTGTTTTTGTCGTGTCATTCTCTCCCAACATTAAAGCGGATTATTTTTCGTCTCAGTGGGTTTTTACTTTTGTATTTTTTTACTGAAGACACGCTTCAGCTGCAGAAGTCATTTTTGTCTGCAGCTACAAACTACTGTGCATGTCGTGTTCATGCACAGCTGGAGCCTCAGAGCCAGATGCTGGTTCAAAGCATTGAAAAAGGTTGATTGTCCTTTGTGAAAGAACAAAAAACTAACAAATAATTAGTTGTTAGTTGTTCTTCTCTGTGTTTATTTGTGTATTTGTGTGTCTGAGTATCTGTTATAAAACAATTAAGCAAATAAATATGGAACTTTATAAATAAGAGAGAAAATTATTGTTTAACTGAGAGATGAATAAATGTTTTTATACTGCGTTTTCATTAGTTTCTATTTCTGTCACAGCCTTGTGTTTATTTCTTTATTCAGTGTAATTCTGATAATGTTTTACTCTGTTATCATGCTTACCTGTTTATTAATTAGTTTGTACTTTTTTATTTAGATTTTTCAGACATTGTGCAGTACACTTCAGCCCTGTTATATTTAGGACTGTTTATATTTATTAAAATTTTTTTACATGTTCTACTATATCGTCTGTGACGCTGTTAGCGTGTCTGTTGTTCAGCACCGCCATCTGCTGAGCTGAGCATGACATCATGTTTTACCCTTAAAAACCGCAGGGGGCGGAAGAGCTCTGGTGCGCCGCCTGCAGGCCGCAGAAGAAGCCGTAGTTACCGTTTCCGGGTCAGCCCAGAGCCGCAGCGCTAGCGGCCGTTGTTAGCTGCTTGGTTAGCACCATGGAGGCAGTACGCAGCTTGCGGGTCTCGGTGAAATCAGACAGCGGCTCTGACCGCTCGGACTCCGATTCCGAGTCGGATAGAGATGCCCGCGAAGCCGAGCCAATGGAGGTGGAGGAGGGAGAGCTGGAGCCCGAGGACATCTCCGTTAACCGCTCTCTGAAGGAGCTGCTGCCGGTAAGCCCGGACTAGGCCCCGACACTCCGGGGACTGGCGTCTCCGTCGCCCGGCAGATCCGCAGGAAGTGTCGGCTAGCGGTTACTTGGACTCCCGGCTCTCTCCCCGGGAGTCAGGCGTCCGCCCCGTGCTGTGGGGGCTGCCGATGAGCGGCGGGGGCCTCGCGTTAACCGGGGCTGGTTTACGTTTTCGACATGTTTGCGGGGTTCGTGTTTATTTCAGTCACTTGTTGCTGTGTTCACGTGCTGTTTGTGTGGAGCGCACGTCCCACCAAACTCTACTTAAAAAACATCGAATTTAAGATGTTTACGTGTAAACGCAGAGTGCTCAACTATTTCAACAGGTATGCGCATACCGAACTGTTCTGCTTTCTTCTAAGCGTGAACCTGGGTTTCATTAGTCTTCCTTTGTTATTTACTCTTCCTGCTAGTATAGAGTGGCCCTGCCATTAAACCTCAGCTAAAACTAGGACGTTTAACGTTTTTACGTGCAGAAAAATGCAAAACGGGGAGAGTTATTCTATTTGAATACACGCGCACTTAGTAGTTTTTATACCTTCACGGGTGTTTCCTCCCCTGCCAGCACACAGACAGTATCCAGAGCAGTTCATCAGCTGGAGAAATGAAAGTTTTCTTCTTGTGTGAAAGTCGCGTTAGAGTTGCTCTGGAGGCCTGTGTGGCTGCTGCTGTGGACTTCATGCAGCCTGTGTTTCTCATGTGTTTACAGTCACTTTGTAATGTTGCTGAGGCAAACCAACAGAAATGGCTCAAAGGGAAAGTGAAACCGTGGCCTCCACTGCTGTCTGTCTGTTTCACAGGACACCAGTCGGCGGTATGAGAACAAGGCCGGAGCCTTCATCACTGGAATCGACGTCAACTCTAAGGTAAACCTTCAGAGTGTGTCCGGGTGTAGGCTGCTGCTTTAAAGTGTTTCTCACTGTGGGTGATATTAGTGAAGTACATGCAAGAGTCTGAGCGCCTGTGGGGTCAGGACGCATGTGTCACCATGACCTGATGATGTCAGGTAAAGAGTGATAGCTGAGTGGGAAGCGCAGGGTTCCAACTCATCTGACTACTCGAGTTCTTTCCTTTTTC